GTGTCAGATTGTTGGAAAACAAGCTCTCTGTAAAATGCAGAAAATACTTTTTCAGAATGAGGATGTGAGGCCATCACACCTGACAGGATTATGCAAGGTAGCTAGGAGAAGAGACAGGGCATGCTAAGCTGAAAAAAACCACATTTGCCGGGCTCACCCCAAACAAATGTAAGTAGCCTTGGCATTTCTGGATTCTCCTTGTGGTACTTATCCCCAAACTCCTCTCTCTCTCTGTCTTCTTCATCAGGGACAACTCAGGTCAAAAACATATTCTGCCCCTTCCACTATGTATTTCCTCTATTAGTTTGGAAAGGTATGCTTTCATTACCATCTCTGGATTCCACCACGTGTGCAGTCACATTGCTTACTTGTACGTCCCAGAAGTGCAAGAAATGCTTTTCCTGGGATTCTCTGCATGGCAGCACTTTTGATTTTCTTATTCATAGTAGGCAGAGACCTTTCTACCTTTTCCACTGCATTCAGCCAGCCTTACTAAAAAACCCTGTGAAACTTGTTTCCCTTCTGGAACTGGAAAAGTCTTGACCATTGAAAAGGAGATTACTTTCTGATTTAAGCTCTGAAGGTCATTTATATTGACTTGCTTAGGCAAGTTGAATAGTAGGCATCCTGAACTTAAAGATACAGAGGGTACAACAGCCATTGCAAAAAGGAAGGAAAAACCCCTGACTTTCTTTTCTCCTTTCAGTATCAATATAGTTCAAAATATTCTCTTTGTTTTTGCAAATGTTTGTTCACTAGAATGTTCCAAAGGGAAAAATGTCAGCCACAAATCCTCACTCATCATGTATTTGCACAGCAACGCTTAAAGGTCCTTAAAGATCTCCAAGGATTTGAAAGAAATAATTCAGTCAGGTAGCAGACACAGTGCCACTGCCTTCCGGTGGCTGGTGGCAAGGCTCATGCAGCGTACGACAACTCAAGGCAAGTCACAATGAACTGATTTTTACAGACCACGTGCAGAAAAACGTGTTTCCACAAACCAAAGGTATGAAAATCTAAACGTTTGCAGCTAATGCATCAAGCAAAGACAGTGTAAATCCACAAAATGGACTGTTCACTGCAAAGGGACATTTCTTCTCTATTCTGCTTGTCTTACAGGTAACCCCGCTTCTGTTCTTACCATAACCACCAGTTTCATTCATTTTCCTTGGCATTTCAGCAAAGCAACAACTTGTTCTTCATGACTGCTGATTTATTCTTTATATATCTGAATAATGGTTGTGTTACAGCCATGTTTTGTGTTATTCATCGTGGATGAAGTTCCACCCCGACAGTCCATGTTCTTCTTCAGTTCAACAGTTTTGACTCACAAAGGAGAGCTTGGGGCAGGTGGACCTGTCTGGAATTTTTTGGAATACTGGACATGGATTTCTTTGCTCTGTGAGGTCTACCTGTTGCATTGGTGAACCGGAATTTAGAGGAATGACAAAATTCAAGAGAGGTAAATACAGAAATGTCTACATGTCCTATCTAATGCACTGCTAGTACATTATTTTCTAATACAGAATGCTTATTTTTTGACCTCAAAGTAACACGTGACTTCAGTATGAAATAATTTTCTGCTTGAAATATTTTACAATTAATCTAGCTCCACTAGGCTGGCATCTATTACAATTAGTTTCAGCTGTAAGGAAAAGAAAATACAATTTTTGCAGACTAAACTGAATCAAAAAGTTTATTTTCTGGAAAGTCTTCTTCACACATCTATATGTGTGAGAAGTCTACCTCAATACTGTTTTGTTTAGTTAAGTTCATCTAAGATGCATTTAAGCAGGAGCTGTTCTTAATTACCCTAGCACAGTAAGTTGGCATTCTCCTAAATTTGTGCTTTTCAGCAATAAGATTCCTTCCTGCTGTATCTTTTAATTGCCTGTGCTTTCCTGGAAGATGTCTCAACTTTATCACCTTACAAAGTAGATAATCAAGATCTACTTTTTTTTCCAGACATTCCTTCCTCGTTTAAACAATTACTTGCCTCATGCTCTTTTTCCCCCCCTTTCCTCTTCTCAGTAGAGAAATACATTTTCGCTGCTAATACACACCCTAATTGCAATGAACTGGAGCACTGTTATCAGTCGAAAGCCTAGTGGAACTTTGAAAGGTTTCTGAACCACAGAAAAGTCTGTAAGGTAACTACACAGTATCATACAGGCAACCTCTATAAAGTATCTTAATTAAAAGAGTCCTTTTCTGTGTTCTAAATTAGTTTTAGTTGTACAGCATTTTCTGTTTTCCAATCTTTATGGTCCTGTAACTAAGAAAGGTAGTTTAAGGAGGAAAATACGTCCTAATTCCTCATGCAATTGCTAATTTTAAAGGATGAAAAAAGTCTGAATTTTAAACTCTAAAAATGATTAATTACAAGCATGAACTTATTAAGCTGCCTGTAAGTAACTAACATTCAAGACAGCAGCACTGCAGGCTTCCCTATCCTATACACTTTTCCCCCATCCTCCACAGCAGAATCACTACAAATTCAAGATAATGATTACAAGCATCCAGATCTGTAACATACAGAACCATAGCAACACTGAGGATCTCTTATGTTAATTTCCGTGCCCAGAGGTTTTTCTGCAACACTGAATTAAAGACGCCACTGTATTGTTCCTGTAACAAGACAATTATCTTGGAATTAAGACTAAGGTGAACACTCTTTTCAAAGAATCAGCCTTCCAAAGGCTTTAGAGAATGGACAAAATTACTTATGTGGCTTACGTCATTGGTCTGCAAAGTTACATTTCTGTACGCACCCTGTTCTAAGAACAAAGGGCAAAGTAACCATCATGTCATAGTCTTTATAATTCTTTCTTTAACGAGGTAGATAATCTCCTTGAAATTACTGTTTTTAATGGGGCATTAACAAAGATTTCTTTTATTGTTGTTGCAGTTGAACAAACTAAGACTACTAAAACTTCACTTACCTTTAGTGTCACCACCTAAATTCTTCAGACATGAAGGTGAGAAATGTTTCCTTCTTGTAGTGTCAAAACATATTTGGATGTCTGCTGAGTGAGGGTTTAATGGCTTTAGAGAACAATACTAGGAAAGCCCTAAATCTGCGTGACAATTCTCAGCAAGCAGTCATCCTTCCCATCTATTTGCAGAAGTCAGAGGGAACCAGAGGTTTATTCCTTGTGGAGGAAGGAAAGATCTTGTACTGAACTGTCAACCCTGACTTTTTAAAGAGAAGCATAACCCATGAGCTGAGCCATGGCTGATGCATTTGGTGAGGTCCTCCCAGTGTATGTGGATTCCTCCACTGAGCTGCAAGAGTAATCACAGAATACTACTGCCTATGTTTGAGGGAGCAGGGAACAAGATTTCTCCAAACCTTCAAGCATTGGAAGAGCTGCTTACACTACACACAGGATTTTCCCCCAAGAGAAGATGTAACGACAAAGACGATTGCATGTTTGGTATCATCAGAAAGAATGTAGACAAAAAGCAGCAATGAACACAGAGGTCTTACACATACATTAAACATTCAGCATGAATGAATGGAAAGGATCAGTTCCAAAAATGGGTCCAACATCCCAATTTTTACAAAAAATGTGATTGTACTGTAGCGGAACCATCATGATAGAAGACAATTAAATACATTTTCAGTGGGATCCACATGAGCAGCCTTCAATGTCTATGCACTTGTGCTAACTCTTAGCATGGTTCAGTTCAAATGACAATAGGAAGTTATCCAAACCTGCAACAAACTTGCTTTTGAATTTCTCTGTAAGATACAGTCTTGTTGTTCTCTACAATGAATACTCCTCCTTATCTTCTACCAGCCTATATTCCTCTTCTGGACATACCGTTTTGAGTATAGGGTTAAGATTTGTTTGCATGATTTGCATGTGAGTATCACTCAAGAATTAATGACTCAAAGCTTTCAGATGCCCAAACAAATTCCATTGGTATTTCTGTTTCTTCAAAGAGCAAAAACAGTCTCATATAATACCACACAAAAATGTAAAAAGGAAATAAACCAAATAAATTTTAAACCACTGAACCACCATGAAAACTAGGCCACAGAATAATCTATCCATACAGTCTGCAACACACAACAAATTCAAAAGAACAATAGGATCAAATACCTCGATGTAGAAAGAAAAAAAAATCTATAGGTTTTGGAGCACAACATGAAGCATTTTCCTATCATCTTCATAAAATACTACAGTTAGTTTTACTACCCACCTTTCTACAACATACACAAAAAAAAGTCTCAAAGAAGAGAAATTATTTTAAAAAACAGTTTTAGAAAGCTGTGTAGCCAGCAGCACATTTACTTCTTGATTTGGAAACAGCACATTGAAAAACAGTGCATATGTAATAGCTGATACTTGTCAGTTTTTGAGACAACTGATAGTATCACTTGGATAAGTAACCTGTGCACCCAGTGGTCATGTCAGTGATGCTACATCCATAAGAAGGTATTCTGAAGCCTGAGAGATTGTTCAACAGCGTAAATAAGTGTCAGAAAGAAAGGAACAAAGTCTATTGTTTTCTCCCTGTTGAACACCAACAATAATGTTCTGCAACAAATCACTATTAGCCCTGACATTTATAGTACAGGTCTACTAGTGAATCAGGAGTAGAAAAAGAAAGGAAGAGAACAAGGAGACAAACACCAGTCACTCAGTTTAGAGCAGGACTAGGATATCAGACATGTTATGGATAAGAGTGTCACACACTGGCAGATGTATTGAGGAAAGCAGTTGTTCACTGTCGCTGTGATTAACTGAGCACAACACACTGGGATTGCGGTCTGAATGCCAGAAGCTCAGTAGTAGTGCAAAACTCAAATATAAGACAACGTTTAGAAGTAAAAGTACTTACCCTTGAGAGTGGTATAAAAATGTTTTAGAGTTAAAAATTAAATGTGCAAACACTCTAAGAACCAATAATTTCTTGGTACACAGAATGAAAGTATTTATAAAATACTTATATTCTGACCACAGGAAAAATGTTTGTAAAGTTTTACTTACTTTGGATGGGTAAATTCATCCACTAGGACAACCTTTTCTATCAGGTCTCCACCAACGGTTCGAGCCAAATCATAGAAATCATTCTTCGAGTATGTCTCAGAAGGCAGCCAAAAGGAGATGTCATTGATCAAAGGTGGGTATCTGCTGAGAGGCTAAAAAAAATAAAAAACATACCTTTATAAGTGGCTGGACTTGGTAGGTATATCTACTGCTGTTCTGCACTTGTATATTACACACAGCACACAGCTTAGAAGCTTTCTGAAATGCTTTTTGAAGTGTAAACTGACCTTGTAAACAACTGAGAGGCAAGATTTTATATTAGGAAATGTCTTTTAAAGGTCCCCTCATAACCATTTCGATTCATTCATTCAGAAGAAAAAACTTGTTTTGTTTGCTAAAATCAGCATTTATGAGCCTGAATACACCTTTGCACCGGAGCTGTTTAAAAGGAAGGATCATTTTAACACAATTATTCACTGAGTAGCACCGCAGTTTTTGAAAGCGTTTTTCAGAGATTCAAAAAATCTTATTACATTCATGTATATAATTTATATGTATTTTGTATAATTCCCATATAACACGATATGTTTGTTATTTATACTGTCCAATTGCTAAGAAACTCTTATCAATAGGTGCCTTCTTATTAAACGATTACAATAAGAAATAAACTTTGGCTTAAAAAGAGAGATCAGTTCACTTCCCACTGGTTTTTATAAACATTCAAACATCTAAAACAACAAAAAAAAGTCTTACTGTTGGCATAATTATTAATTCCACAAGTATCACAACAGACTCTTAACATAAAGAGGCATCTCTGCTGCAGACAGAAAGACCTCATCTTGTGGTCTGAACACTGCAATTTTTTATTCGCAAAAACAGGAAGAGAAAGAGAAACAAAACAAGACGATTATTAATTTTTCGGTTTTGATGAAAATTTCTTGGAGTCAATGGATTTCAGATCTTGTATCTGCTGAAATGCTTGCCCCTTTGAAGAAAAGAAAATGGTAATGCTCTTCTTTTCATGCCCTTTAGGTCATGCAATATCTTACTTCTGCCTTCCATTAAAGGACTGCAGTTGAAATAAGTACTTTCTCATAAGATTGTTCAGGTCTGCAGAAGAAAACATCTTTCCTTATTTTGCTTATATGTATATGACAGTTGATGTGTACAACTTGGTCTACACAGTATATTATTTCACTCAAAAATGTATTCCATGCTTGGCAATGTTTTATGATGGAACAGTGAAATCCTAAGTGAATACCTGCTAAAGCCATAAACCTGTTAAAAAGGCAAATTTACAGCATGCTGATTTGCTCAAAGCCTGTTTTGTACAGTGTTAACCAGTCAATAAATATCTGATACGGAATACAGTGCAAGTTTTAAATTAATAAGCCCCCCATGAATAAATGTGTGAATCAGAAATGATTATTCAACTTGTCAAATTAATTCATATCGCCAAATTAAAAAATTAAAAAAAAAAGCGCAATAAATCCATCACACAAGAGCTTTTGGTAAAACACTAATGAATGAAATGCAAACATCTCCTCTGCTATGCAAAAGTCACAGGTGCAAATGCTGGAGATACAACCTAATACACGTGTTAGTGTAAAGGAAGATACAAACCTGTAGCAGACCTCGATATTCTCACCTCACCCCTTTCTACCATTACATTTATCACTGCTGTATTTTAGCAACCTACTGAACACACCTCAAAGCTTGAAGGTACTAGTCCAAAACTCACTGAACTCCCAGTTTCAGGACATTTAATTATTCAACCAGAAGATGTTGTTCATGAGCCTAAGCACGACCACTCTATTTGGGCAGGTGCCTACTTTCATTCCCAGAGGTACAAGGACACTAAAGAAAAATTACATGTTCAAGTAACTCAGCAATATCCTAAACCCCGAAAGGAGAAAAGTGCCTACAGTTCTTAGTGAGTATTTGGTATCAATTTCAAAAGAAGCAGGATTGTGTCAGGCACATGAAAACAGCACTCTTTTTCCTCACTTAAAATGAGATGTACACAAAGATCCAATGTGGTCAGATCTTGCAAGCATACCTGGAACAGTCTGACTCACATTATCAGCGTTGTCAAATTCCTTGTAAGCAAAGTTACTCAAAGATGTAATAAACCATAGGGTCTGGCCCTCCTGGATTATCAAATCTATAATAAAAATTGCTGCTTTGCCTCAATCCATGACATTAGCAGCCTAGATACAGAATTGTTGCAATTTTGTGTGTGCATGCATGTGTGCATGCTTGTGTTACAAAGATGAGAAGGACAAATGATTAAAACAGTAAGTGTAACTTTTTTATTATTAGGTACTAGCCTTTTCACAAAGCATTATAATGCAGAGAAATCTTTTATGGTAAAAGGAAAGGCAATAATCCTTCACCACTTTTATGGTAAAAGGAAAGGCAATAATCCTATATTATACTGTCCCTTCACCACCTGGTGCAGTCAATATCATTGCAGTAAGTATTATATCAACACTAAAGTTAGTGTAAGGATAAAATTCCCAGTTCTTAAACGTATTGATCTGTTTGTTGTAGAGCTACATGAGCTACATAATTGTTTATTAGCTACATCAAAACATCAAAAATGTGAAGAGGACAGGACAAGTGTCTCCAACTGGCAGGTCAAAATGAAGCTACAAAATTTGCATTCAGGCACCCTAGCAAACACATACTGTGCTCCTACAGATACCGTTGCCATCACCGTCCTCCCTTCTGAGCTCTCCTGCTCTTAAACAACAGAGTGGTCTGAAGCCCGTTGACTTTGATCCCTTTTCAGGTTCAAGGCAAATGGCAGCCCCCAAGACTGTTTCCTTATGAATTTACAGACACTTTAGAGGCTCCCCTTGAGAGCAATGTGTTCTTCCCGCTACGTCTTCTGCTCTGCTGTCACCTCCAGCCACCACTTCCAGCTACATCCTCTTCACAACTAAGGTGTGCTCCAGCACAATGCCTGGAGAAGCTAACAGGACACTGGCTGGCTTCGCTGCCCATATGTTGGCTGACTCCTAGGATGCTGCCCAAGCTTGGAAGGCCCGCCATCCCTCCTTCCACTGCCTGACCATCCCCTTTTAGGTTTTTGGGGAACTGAAAAGAGATTTAGGAAAAGGTAGAACTGATCCCACCTGCAGAGTGCTGCTGTGAGGCACTGGGGACGTCTGACAGACAGCACTGCTGATGCACAGACAGCACTGCACCACTTCTTTGGTCCCATCAGGGCTTTGCCACCTCAGCGCTACTTTAAATGTTCTCTTTACTTTCCATTTCAAACACTGCACTGCACTATCTTTGACATTTTTCAACAGCCTCGGAAAACACGAGCGCTTTCCCAGTAATTACACTATCTATAGGACTCCACTGAGCCCACGTTGTAGGGAATATTGCAAATAACAACATCGCATTTTTCAGTCACCCAAGGTGAAAGCATTTAGGAGTACTGAATTACTATAAATTTTAATAATAAAATGGAAGTTTATGATGATCCACCCTCAATGATACATGTTTACTAGTCATTAGTCACACTTCCTTCTGTGGTTAATGAATAAGCCAAGTACTTACTAAAACTGCAAGCTTTTTCCTCTCAGGGTGCTAATTTTAGGATAGAAATGAGTAGCTGGACGCCAGTGTTGTACCCTGCTCTGCCAGCCTGCCTCAGCAACGTCTAGATGGATCAGTGGAGTGCCTCACTGAAAACTCCTTGGGTTTCATGGGAACTCTTCTGCATGGGCTTGTGACAGTTTAGGGCATTCCTCATCCCCAGCCCTCTGCTCTACCTTTCTGTCCGAGTTTACTGACCCTGCAGTGGCCGATAAAGCAAACACGTGCCTGTTCCTCCACCACCGCAGTTCACAGCCTGCCGTGACCAGCTGAAAATTGCCTCTCAGTGGTTTATGCTAATATATTGTGGATGAAGTATTGCAGCAGCTTGAGGCATTGGGGGACAGCTGTCTCAAGCAGCAACAGGGTCCACCAGAACTCATCCATCAGCACAAACTAACAAATACTTGAGCTCCACACTAGGGCACTACTCTGGACACTGTGGCAGTGGGAATCAAGTGGTCATTATAAGAGTAGTCTCTGTTCGTCCATACATGGCAAAGGATCATCAACTAGCCTGGGTCCAGATACCTCACAGCTGCACAGGACAGAATACGTGGCAGAAACCCCCACACCTCTGGAAAAGAAACATCTGGGGATAATGCACAGCCAGTGCCAGCGAATAAGCCTTCATAAGGCCACAGAGTGTCCTTAACCAGAGTCCCAAAAAGCAGAATGAACCCCAGCACTTTCCACAAATATTAGGAAAAAACTCATGTTTTGCCTGATGCAGTAACTGTGAGTGCATCATGCCGAGGGGACAGAAGTTTTGTGCTGTAGCTGTTGGGTCAGTTCCCTCCCCGCTGCCGTCTGCAGGTGGGGGGACACACTGAATGCACGACAAACACTGTAGAGGAAAAGCCTGGACTTGTGTTTTGACATCAGTGATCCCAACACAAGGTTAATGATGACACATACCAAAAACTGGGTTAGCAACTCCACAGCAACTGGGTTAGCAACTCCAAACTATCAAAAAGCCAGCCATGTTTTACTGCCATCCCCAGTGCAAGTCAGAAAAATATGAGACTTAGCAGCATCGTGACTGTCAAGCTTTAACAGTCCTGCGTTGCCTATGTTTTGGAAAAATATGTACATAAACTATACAGTTTTAATGCAACGTCATATTCTCATCGAAATGAAAGCTACGGTCCTGTAATAGCTAAGCCCTTCTTAATATATTCCATGGTGAAACTACATTAATTCAGTGTTATCATAGGAAATTTAAACACATAACAGGCATGAAATTCAAATTTGCAAATTTACAACTGTAACTTAGCTCCCTTGCACATAATGAAGTTTCCTGTATTAGTGTGTATGCTTCTAGATTTACACTTTCATATTTATGACCAGCATAGACAAATTATGGTTGCTGCACGAAACATAATTTTGAATTTCTTGGCTGTCATGGCTCAAAATTCGCAGTCACAATGTTCCATTATGATAAGTTTTCTACCCTTCCCTTCACCAAATAATTTTTTTCTTAGTTATATATAGGGAATTCTATATATTCATACATGTATACACACACATATACACATTT